TATCTATCTATCTAGCTATCTGGCTATCTAGCTATCTAGCTATCTAGCTATCTATCTATCTATCTATCTATCTATCTATATGCGGACGTGTGAGTGTGGGCTTGTGTGAGTGTGCTTGTGTGCAAGTCTCTGTGTGCGTGCGTCCGTGCGCGGGTGTTCAGGTGTGTGTCTGTCTGTGTGTTTGTGTCTGTGAGTGTGGGTGTGGGTGTGGGTGTGGTTGAGCTCATGTGCACGTGCACACTTGTATGTGATGCTTTGTGTTTTGCTTCCCGCGGCATCTGCTAAACAAGCTCATTCAGCTCCAGCTGGCTTGACCACTTGATATCTGAGCAGTATTCAGCGACTGGTGTTGTCATGATGAAGATGCAAGAAAGCCTTGCGCATGTTTCACGCAACCACGCCTGCAGCAGAACGATTTTCCATCAGTGATGTCACAGGATCTGCAAACCGATTGCGTTCTGGGCACACGGAGTCTCGCTATGCTGAAACAAAATGCTACAAGCTCCGGGTATTGCTGCTTTGTTGCTTGTAGTATTGACACATTGCAAGCCGGCCTAAGAATCCAGATTGCCATCCCTGCTTTGACGGAGACGAAGAAAACCGTCAATGCTGGTGATCACTAGTCACTAGTTGACCGCAGTAGGATGTGAGGTGCCATCCTCGGCAATGCTGTCCGGATGTTTGATCGCCAGCGAAGTCTTTGCCTGGACCCTGTGGAGAGGCGGCTTCAGGAATGAACAGCTTGAGTTGAGTGAACGAGTGAGCGTTGTTCTGGTTGTCGTCGTGGTGGGGTGTGTGTGTGTGTGTGTGTGTGTGGGAAACGGGATGCTCTAGCAGTACATTTTCCCTTACTTTAGACTGTGCACGGGGGCAACCTACCTTCCAGAGTGGTTGCCAAGGGACGTAATTATAATTACCTGCAGTGATCAAGAACGTAAACAATCCGCTACAATCTTCGCTGTATATTGATGATCCTCGCTGTTGTTTACTACAGTCTGCAAGCCGCTGATCCTTCTTTTTCGTACACCAGCCAACAAGGTCAGCCAGCTCATTGAAGGCCCCATTGCAGTATTTTTCTCTTGACGTTGTCAGATGAGTTCTGATGAGCTCAGGTCTGAGTGAAAGTCACACACACAGTTGAACTGCACACCAGGGTTTGCCTGAAGTTCGAGTGTGAATCGGGCACCGTCATGGCGCCATTCCTTGATGTTAATCTTTCTCGTGTATGCTTTGTTCTTGCCCCAAGCTAGAAGGAGTGTCAGGAGTAGAACGCCCGAAGATAGCCAGTCACGATAAACGCATGGATGCAGCGCCTGGGGGGAGGACCTGCGCACCGGAAGAGGCCCGGCCAAGGGTTCTCGAAGCCCCGGGTCTTTTCGGGACAGGGTTTTTCCGAGCTTTGTTAGCCAGATGGGACGCATATGGACGCATCTTTGCTCTGAGTTCGAGCTCAGGCTGACAGGTCCCACGCAGATGGCCCGTGCATTGCATTCACTGAATCGAAAGACATCGCAAGAGCGCCGCGATTGTCATTTCCAACAGAGTATTCCGCGAGTCGTCTTTTTCCCAAAACGGAGCACGCAGGCCCAAGCATGTATACTAGCTACATCGTTGTTGACTTAAGGCGATGCTTGTTCCGCAGACACGGCTCACCTTAGAAGAGACGGTCTTTCCGGTGTTTCAGGCAGAATCTTCTTCATTGTGGGGGTCGATCCCCTCCTTCGCAGACATGGGGCGACTTGACACGTAGAGTTTAGCACAGCAGCTCCTTGTTCCATAGCGCCTGCAGCCGACACACCGATGACTGAGGGCCCACCCTGCTGTGAGCAGTGCTCTCGACAACGTCGCACTCAGCATTGGGGACGTCCTCGATGCTGCAACGCAGGACAGTGCCGACAGGGCTTGGGGAACCGTGTACCAAGCTGGACATGCTCAGCAGAATGGTAGCACTCAGCGGCACTAGGGTAACAAGACACGTTATCATCACAGGGATGTTTTCACGCGAGGTCAGGTGCCAAATCGGTGGAGTTGTGGTGCTGGTGACATCTGGTGAATAAGGACGGATAAGGCTCGAGTACAGAGATGACGGGGAGGGTGACGTTGACCACTGTACAGAAGCCCAGTTTCTTCTTCCTTCCGTCGCTCTTCGGCTGTGGTGATGGTGATGACTCGGGAATGATGCAAGTGTCACACCTTCTGCTGGAAGTGGGGCCTTGGGGCACGGAGATATCTTTCCCCGCCGCTTCTGCTCTTTAAAGTGGCAGGACCTGAGCGAGATGGCCGGGGACCTGAAGTCCTTCGTGGCTTCTGCCGTGGGTTTGGAGGAGGCCCTGGCGGGGCGGGGCCCCGGCCCCTCCTGTCGAAAGCTCCCTTCTCTCTCTCTCTCTCCACGCGCCCTCTCTCTCTCCTTCCCTTCTCCGAACGAAGAGGAGCCTGACGAAGAGCAGAAGGCCGAGGCGGCAAGCAAGAAGGTCCTGGAGGCCGTCTCGCCGAGGTCGAGGCTGCGCTGCGGCACCAGAGAGAGAGCGGGAACCAAGGAAGAGACATAGCATAGAGTGAAGACCAGAAGACCACTCTGCCGCTCTGTCGCTGCCGTCGCAGGCAGGAGGCGGTGGGCGCCATCTCGGACTTCTGCCAGAAGTACCCAGCGGCACGGGCGCGAGCCCGAGGGGCCCTTGCGAGCTTGGCCCCGTGCCGCCTGGGAGTGGCTTTGTGTTTCTTCTCTGAGGTGCGGCCCACGACGCAGGAGTTGGAGAAGCTGTGGACAGCCATCGGTGGCTTGAAGCCCGTGGCGCTGAACAGCTTGCCGGCAGCAATAGGCGTACTAAGAGCTTCCTGCTACATGAGGCTCTGCTAAGCTCTTCCTTTGCCAGGCGATGTGGAGTAGCCGCCATATCAGAGCTTTTGTGGGAAGATGCTAAAGATGGCGCCCTAAACCCGTATAACCCGTATCTGGCCTCTCAGAAGTACTAGCGTGCGACCTGTGGTTTCAAGTTCGCCAGAGTTCGCCCAAGGGTTTTAGGTTCTGATGTCACCAGGTGCCTTCTACGACGAGCTTAGCTTCTCCAACGGCCGGACTATTTGATTTCTTCGGTGACATCACCTGGCGAGTCCAGCTTTTTGTGCGATAGTTCATACCGTTCATAACTACCACATCACTTTAGGCATCTTTTTAGACTGGAGTCGTCTGTCTTTCGGTCGTGCCCAAAGGGAAGGGGGAAGGGTGGCAGCCCTTTCCAGGCGACACGTCCTGGCAGCCACGTCTAAGAGTGTCCGCCTGAGATTCGGAGAGGCCGATACTTTCCTGAAAGGCCCGGGAAAGCCGAGAGCTGTGAGGTGCTCTTTGCATTGGAGTTCCTCTTTCGAAAGGATGGCCCGGGCAAGGAGCAGAGACCAGAGCAGCGAGTGGTTGGAGACTTTCTTTTTGAGGGCGTTCTTGGGGTGTTGGTGCATCTTGGGAGTAGGAAATCCGTGCTCCTTGGGTCGCTTTGAGGGCGTGATTGGGAGCGGGAGGGAGCGGGCGTTCGGCGCCAGGAGGTGGCGATCAGCGTCTTCCACCAGGCACGGAGCCTCATCGTCCACTTGACCGAGGCAAGATGCTCAGAATCCCAGCGGCATTTTCTATCAAGTCTTGAGCCATCCCGGCGGAAGAGATGCGGGACACCCCAGACCATGGTATCGTAGACGTCGTAGACCATGCACGGTGGAGTCGGTCTTCTGACAGCTGCTTGCAGGTCCAGCAGTGTGCCGAGAAGGCCAAGGAGGCACTTCTGCGAAAGGAACTGACAGGAAGAGGGACTTGAGTTTCGGGTCTCGGGGCTAGGACCAGGGGGGGGCACAGGCTTTCGGGTTTTTTGAGCATTTCAAGAGCTCAGTGGATGCTTTGGGTCTTCACGGCTTTGGGTTTAGGGTGTTAGGGTGTCGCAGTTTGGGGGTTTCGGGGATAGGGGGTCTGTCATAAGACCAAAGCTCGCTGAAGCCGCGAACAGCTGTGCCCTCTATACTGTGAAGGTCATCCGCCTCTTCAGCCGGAAGGAGGCAGGCGGTGCAAAAGCATCGGTACATGATCCAATCCTCTTTGGGGGGGGGCACTTCTCTGCGAGGAGGCGCCGGAGGAGGCCAAGGCCATGCCCAGTGAATGGGGGGTCTCTGATGGAAGTCCTGTAAAACTGACTCGTCCTTTGAAGGATGCGAAGGATGCGAAGGACGGGAAGGCGAAGGCGAAGGCGAAGCCCGCTGTGGCACCGGAAGCTGATCTTCTGGATATGTCAGCACCAGGCAGAGGGCCCCGGAGCACGAGAGAGAGAGAGGTGTACTGCTGTGGCTAAGGTGTAAGACTCTAAGATGGTGTAAGCTGAGGAGTGTACTGGACCGTGCGCCAGTGTACAGGTTTCATCTTCCGCTTAGGACGACCGTTTTACCACTTCCCTGCCTTGCATCCCCGAGCTTCCCATGAGTGCAAGTCTGGTAGACGAGCGAAACAAAAGTTGAGTCTTCCTTTGCTGACGCTGCGACGCTCTGTTATGCTCTGTTGCAGTCGCCACCGTTCCCTCGGCCGCCGCCCCAGCAGCGGCGCCCGCAGCGCGCGCGGCGCCGGCGGATCTGGATCTGCTGGGCGAGCTCCAGAGCCCGGCGCCGGTGGCGGTGCCTCCTCCAGCTCCGGCGATGACCGCTTTGGCGCCGCCGGCGCCGGCGCCGGCCGCGGCATCTGCGAGCACCAGCGGCACCAGTGCACCGGGTGCGGCCGCACCGTCGCCGCTGTCGCCCTCGGCAGCGCTGGCCTTGGCCTTGTCCTCTGCTCCGATGGCCCCGACGGCGACGCTGCCGCAGGAGCCGGGGCGGCCAGGGCGGTGGCGACTTCTGCTTCTTATTCCTTTAGCAACTCTGCCGGACAGGACTTGGACCTACTCGCGGCGCCCGCGGCGGCAGCTCCTGCGGCAAGGCGGAGAGAAGAGCCCCACTCCTTGACATGGGATAGAAGTTAAGTGCAGAGAGGGATGATTTCACGATTGAGGCTGACAAAGTTCCAAGTTTGTCTTGCTTCGCAGTTAGAATGTCAAATGTCTATCTGGCTGCGAAGTTTGGTTTGCTCTTCCAGGCCTGCTTCTGGCCTTCCCTTTGCTGGCCTGGGCATCGGTGCACCAGCCGCCCCTGCCGCCCCTCCTACAGGCCGGAGCCTCCTTTCCTCCGCCCCGGGCCCCCCCACACTCTCTCAGAATCAAAAGTGCCCATAATCCCCATAGTCTGCATAGTAGTTCCTTTTTTGGGGTTACCTTATAGTATTCTATAGATGAACCCCAAAAAGGAACTACAGTACTTTAGGGCAAAGGAACTACTTTATAGGGCCTATTGGCAGAGACAGATAGATGACGCAGTCGCTCTCTGACTGCTCTCCGAGGGATGGGCCTCCCGGGCCTGGGCAACGCGAACTACGCGAACGCGGCCAAGGACCCGACGGGACTCTTCCCCATCTCTGTCTCTCTCTCAATTCTATAGGTTTGATGTGTCTCTCTCTAGTCTCTACGGCGAGTCTAATGTAAGTGGCGCGCCGAAGTCGGGCGTGTTCCGCTTGTGGCAGGCAGCTCCGCGAGTGCCCCCGCCTTTTGCCAGTCGAGGCGCCCTCTTAGGAGGGTCACTTTGAGGGCCGTTTCTTGGCGCGCAGCTCTTCTTCTGGAGCAGCCCAGGCAAGGTGGGCCATCCCTACATGTGGCCTGGCCTGCTCTGGAGGGCGAAGCCTGGCGAAGCCTCGGCTGGCATTTCCCTTTCCCTCTGCAAACCTCTCCCAGGCCAATCCCTGCGTCCCTGGACAGTCCTTCGCAGCCGTCCTGGACTCAGAAATCGACGGACATCGGCCTCGACATCCGGCGCTTTCTCGAATCTCTCATGAAAGTCGAAGTCCCGATCTGTGCGGAGGCCCCCAGTGGATCAATTTGCTTTCGTTTCCGACATCACGGGCATTGGTGACCTGGCAAAGCCGGCAAAGCCTGGTCCTTGGGGGACCGGCCGCGACCGCTTTTTCGCGACCGTATAGCTGTTACCCAGCTTGTGACTCACAATTCTCTGTCATTTTTTCCATGATTCTTCTGATGTTGTTCATCACTTTGAATCATATAGATCCCCCTTACTGGTAGGTCACTGAAATGGAAACTCCGGTTCCTTGCTTAGCTTCCGAGGTAGCACCACGTGGCCGTCACTCTCGCGCCTGCGCTCGGCGCCGGAGAGCTAGACTTGGACGAAAAGGGGTACTCTGAGACTAAGCTTGATGCGCGATGCGACCGCGAAGAGCAGCAGTGAACACACATGGTGCGTTGGAGCGAGATGCTTGCAGGATTTCTGCGAGGTAGCATACGAGCATGTCATCAAGACAAGATCCCCTACAGAACGACCAGCACAGGGCCAGAGCACGCGATCTCAGCCCAGCACCTTTAAGTCATTACAGCACCCTTTGCTGGAACTGCTTTCAGCTGCTCTCACGGCGATGGCCAAGAGCTCCTTCCTGGACCAGCTGCCGGGACCCAAAAGGCCCCAAAAGGGCCCCAACAGGGCCCTTTTCGAGCTGCTGCACTCAAGTTTTCTTAGGTCCACCGGCCCGGTGCTGGGCGGCGGGGCTCGCCTGGCGCTCGGTGAGCTTTTGTGTCCCGTGCTTTTTTGCTGATTCTCTCTCGCCCAGGACCGGTGATGTGCTATCCCGACCCCCATTCCTTGGGGGGCCCCAACGGCGGCATCCCCTTCCGCACAGGGCACAGCCTGGATGCACTTGTTTTTTCGGGGGAACAAAGCCTCCCTGTTCAGCCTTTGCAAGGATGCTATGGCATGGCCGGGGACCTGGGCAGCTTCTCGTGTTTAGGGTTTCGGAAGCCCTAGATACCCCCCCATAACACCCTCTAAAAAAACCCACATGAACCCTTAAACCCTATCAAACCCTAAACCCTAAACCCCAAAACCCTAAACCCTAAACCCTAAACCCTAAAAAAACCAGATGAACCCTTATATAAAACATTCAAACAGCAAGGCAGGGAGCCGAGAGTGTGAGCCTCCTGTAACATGGACGACGCCGAGCCGAGGCCATGCTGCAAGACTCCGCCGAGGCCGTGCGAGGCAGCGTGTTTCTTGAGATTGGGTCGTTTGGGTTTGGGGTTTGTAGGGTTTCGGGTTTGGGGTTTACAGGCTTGTTAGGGCCGTTAGGGTTTAGGGTTTAGGGTAGCTTGGGATGGGTCTTCCGGGTCCTCCCCAAACTCCCCCTGGTAGCGCTTCAAGCCCAAACCCCTCTCAACAGCTACAATGTACCACGCAGCAACAGATCAAAAGGCAAAACAGCCCAACAGCACCCCCCGCCCCCCTCCCCGGGCGAAATCCTAATTCTAATCCCCAGGCCTCAATTTGCCAAACCTCTCGCGGCCTTCGCCCTTCGACTCAGCGGATCCGCTGCAAGGCACCGCCAACAAGACTTTCGTATATCGTAGTTACAATATGTTGTAAAGTTGAAGGGTGTGGGCTAGTAGGGCGTTGGGTGATGGGGTTCATAAGCCTTTCCATTATTGTCAGCATCACCTGGGACACAATGCACACGAAGAGACGCCAGGGCTTTCTGGTTGCGGTCACGATGATCGCACCTCATGATGAATCGGCTTTGCCAAGCCTAGGGTAGTGCTCCTACTTAGTCTAACCAGAGACGCAATGAAGCGAGACCGGAGAATCAGGCTGCGCGCCGCTCGCCCTGCCGGTCCCGCTCCAGACTGTCCGGGCTCACGAACGAAGGCCTCGTGAAGTGCGGATATAAACTCGAGGGAAGCCTTGGCGTTGGCACTTTATAAAATTACCCGGCCAAACATGACTTAGTGCCACCATGGCACCTGGGAGGCGCCAGATGGACTTCCTGTGAGAGAAGCGTTTCAGAGCCTTGCCACATCTTGGTGTGTGGAGCGCACTTAGCGTCCCGATCCCTGCACCAACGGAGTGCTGCGCAGATCAGCTGAGCCTTGCCGGCACCGAGCAGCTGAGCACAGCGGAGCAGCGAAAAAGCGGGAGGGCGCGCCACAAGCGCCGCTCCATGACGCCTTTTACGCAGTCAGCATCTCTTTGACGTCCCTCCCTCCCTCCCTCCCTCCCTCCCTCCCTTCCTCCCCGATTTGATTCGTGTTCCTCCGTCGCCGTTTTGTTTGCCGCATAGCAAATGTCTGCACATGACAGCGTCATCCCGGAAAGTCCCCCCATCCTGGAGAACCTGCAGGATGGCCGCCAGGGGCCTCAGACTGCGACAGTGGGACCCTGGGAGATGCCTCCGAGTCCGAGGGTTTAGGGTTTAGGGTTGAGGGTTTAGGGTTTAGGGTTTAGGGTTTAGGGCTTAGGGGGCTTCAGAAAGTCTTATGCCGGAAGCTGCGACGTGCGAAACGCGCGACGTAGCCCGCGTGGTCCGACGTCTGAGGCGAAACCTCCAAGTGCATGTCTCCAGGAGGGGAGCCTCAGAGAGCTTCTTGCTCTCTCTCGCTCTCTCTTTCTGTTGCTCTCTCTCTCTCTCTCTTTTTTTTGTTCTCTCTCTCTCTCTCTGTCCCTGCCTTCGAGCGAGGCCCAGCAAGAGGAAGGTCGTCTCTGAGGCTCTGGTTCCAGAGCCGACTGCACCAGGCCCTTCCCGCGACTGTGTCGGATCCGTTCCTTTCTCCAATCTTGCGACTTCGACTGCCCGGCCGAAACCGAAAGCGCGTTCGGCCGCTTGCCCCTGCAGATCGAGCAAGAAGGAGATCGCGCCACCGGATGTCCACTCTGGCCGGGCACCCGGCGCGCAGTGGAGCGCAGAGAGAGGGCGCAGCGCCGAGCGGGGCGCAGAGTCTGAGTTAAGAAGGGAGAGATGCAGATGCGGCCTCTCTGTCACAGGATCTTCCGGAGGCCGCCCCATGCCTGCCACTCCAGTGCCTGCTCCTTCCTCTTTCTGATGATGGCCTACGCGCTCTTCCTCCACGGCTCCGCCGAAACCCGAGTGTGCCTTCAGCGTGGGCGACGGTTCCGACTATGTAGAAGTCCCTTTGCCGCGCACGTTCTCCTCACGTTGGTCTGAGGCGGTGCAGGAGATCAGCCTCGAATATGGCCCTGACGATCTCTGGAAGGAGAGGGGAAGTAACTAAGGGTTCAGAGGGCCTTTGTGGGTTTTTTTAAAGGGGGGGGGCAATTCTGGGAGCTGAGCTTTTGGCGGCTTTCTGAAAGGCGTGCGGTTTTTGGGGGGCGTGCGCTCCGCAGGAGATCGTGGTGGAGGAAGGCCTTGCTGGAGCCTCCCTAATTTCGCCAGCGACTCTGTGACGGGAGGGAGGGAGAGAGAGAGAGAGAGGGACTGATTCAGTGTCCTCTATAGTTGCCGCCCCAAAAAGGGTTTGGGGTTTGGGGTTGCAAGGGTTTTGGGGGGGGCGTGAGAGCCGAGGTATGAGCTGCTGCGCTTCAATGCGAACAATCGCCACTACCAGGCCCGGGGCCCAAAAGCCGGGAGCTGTTGCGGACGACAGCGTCAACTCACGATCTCTCTTTTTGCATGGCTCTCTCTCACTCTCTCAGAATAGATCTCTGTTTCTGAGCCTCCAGGCCCAGGCCTACACCAGGCCTTCAGACCGCGTGTGTGTGGAGTCTGTGGAGTTCTCAGGAGAGCCGCCCCCCGGCCTTCAACCTCCTGGTGGCGCAGTACTCCTGCACGGGCATCACCCAGGCCAAGAAGTAGCACCTATAAAGGGCAGGGTTGAGGGTTCAGGCAGGGAGGGTTCAGGACTTCAGGACCTCGGGGGGAGGGCGCTCGCACTTCCCTTCTCATGAACTCCAATGCCTCAGAGCTCTGACGAGTGTTTCTGCAGGTGGCAGACGTGCTCCCGCGACGAACTCCGGACCCGGCCTTCCACCAACTTCTGGAAGGAGCCTCGCTGGGGATACTTGAAAAAAGAGGGAGAGAGAGGAACCAAGGGAGGACGTCTTGAACGAGAGCCCGGTGTCGATGCATTGAAGAGATGACTGCATCCCATCGGCTGTCTCCGAGGCTTCGATCAGTTTCGGCCCTGTGGGCCGGGGAGCTCGGTGCACGTTCCACCGTTCCACCGACCTGGCGAAGTAAAGTCTGCCGAGGCTCGTGTCGATGTCCGTGTTTACCGACCAGTTCAGGCGGGGACTCGCGCCAGACGCTTCCCTGGCTGCTGTGCGCACCCGAGGTTGGAGGATTCTCAGGGACTCTCCATGCAAGTGGACGAGACAGGGCTCTGCCTGCCAGCCGACGGGGACCCCGCTGCCCCTGCTTTCTCGAACTCCACGTGGCTCGAAAAGTCCGAAGCCGAAGATCCCGGCCAGGATCTCTACTCCTGGATCAGCATGGACGCCAACAGCGGGCGCTTCCAGGCGAGCTAGAGAACGCGGCCAAGGGCAAACGCCACCCCCCACACAAAGTCAACTTTGCCAGGTGGAGGGCATCACCAGCTGGATCCCAGGCTTTCATGCCTCCGGCAAAAGATAACACCAAATTTAAGCATCGTATCCATTTCCAGCTGCGCCAGACGCGACGTTCCTCGAACACCTCAAAGTCTGGTACCGGACTCCGGTGTCGGCCCTGGTCGGGTAGGCCATGGATGTAGGCACTCTCCCTGTTCTTGCCGAACCGAGCCGTGCCTGCCCTGTAGTGCAACCAGGAAGGCATGCGTATCAAGATTTCTATCTATATGGTTACACTATACGCTGACATTGCTCATGTGTCTGCCCGTGCACCTGCATTATATCTGTCGATGCCATGCCTGCGGCGTCTTTGTTACGCCTGCATGCATGCAGACCTCTTTCGGTTGCTCGGCTGTTCGTCTGTGTTCGCGTGTAATAGAATGTTCAGCTTTGCAACGCTTAGCCACGTACTCACGGAGACTCAGAGCCAACAAGGAAGGGCCCTAAGGGCCCCTCACTCTGAGGCGGCTCCCCGCGTGCGGCAGCTTTGGGGCCGGATCCCTGGCGGGCCCGGGCCCGAAAAGCGCGGTTTTTTCGCCGCAGCGGTGAGCGACTGGTGATCTGCTCCATGTGTCAGAGGCTGTCGCCGGGCCGGTACAACCTGAGCTTCCCGGTGAACAGTCCGCTTTGGAGAGAGCCGGGGCCTCCGAAGCGTCAGAGAGCGTAAGGGCCGCGCCGGAAGGGCCGCAAGGCTTGCAAAGCAGCTTTGCATTCCCTACGTAGGC